AAGCTAAGCTATGTCATCCACAGGTCATGGAAATCAGGAGTTTCGCGCGTTGTTCCATCTCGAATTGAAGCTCGGTGTGCTCGCCGGTCGGTAACTCTTATTCGAACTGCCACGGTTAGGTCTCACAAAGACCTTGCCTCGTCAACAGTACTTGCTTACTTATGAAAGCCGCTTTCAATATAGCAAATTCTGCGCATTGCTCAGGGGATTTAATAAAGATCAGTCCAGGCGGAGGAAGTTTGATATTGGCATGTGTCTGGTAGCATTTTGAACCATATCTAGTTAATTAGTAGGAATTTTTTTACATACGAAAACATAAGAATTTGAACTCCTATCCGAGCTGCTGGGGCCTTGATCATGCCAGAGTTGGAATGCCGAACACACGCTCTTCTTGATTTAAACCCGATTAGGTTGCCCGCTCTCTCTATGGATAGGAAGATCCGGAGAAAGCGGCAGTGGAAGCAACGAAAAGAGCTCCGTTCCTCGCCCAGACACTCCAATTCTTTTGGTCGGGCTACTCCGTTCAAACCATCAATCGGCGGTTCCTTACTAAGAGATTAAACCGGAATGAGATATTATCTCTGTTGGCTTCGCTTCGTGGACAAATAGGAATGGTACTTGACCGCCTATTCTTAAATAAAAATGGAAAATACTAAGACTAATACAAGGCTGGTTCCAAAGCAGATTCATTCAAAGCCGGTTCATCCAATCACAAAGCAAAAGAAGGAGGAGGTTACCCGCCGACTGAAAGGAGAGGGGACGGGGGTTGACCCGCAGTAGTAGTTGAGTTGTCGGAGCGTCTATACGGGCCTTCGATTGGGGTGAAGCTAAAACGGAGTTCCTTTCTTCTTTGTCCGCTTCAGTTGGAGGTGAGTCTTTTTCTGATGGTTATTCCTCCTAATCTACGATGTACGCACCGCGGCGGTCTCAAGATCTTTCTTTATCTTTATTCTGGTTTTGTTTTCCCCCGAGCGCATCTTCCTTTTTGAATGAGCAAAGGTGTGGGCCTAGGTTTAGTAAAGAGTAAGGGACATATCGACGAACTGCGGATTAGCTCTTTCTGTTGTACGCTGCTGCTGTTTGATACATTTAGGTGGAGCAGGTAAACTCCCTCGGGGCGTTTCGCCAAGCCCTTTGACACCTTCTTTCTGGTCTATCCTCTGACGATATTTTATGATTCGACGGAGGCCCTCCCTCAGGCATGGTAAGCAAGTAGACTACTTTGGCCCTATCAACTTAGTTTGCGCCGCGTAGATATCTAGCATCTGGACGAGCAGCCACCGTTTCGGATCAAAAAGTAAAGAGGGCGCCGCCCGATTCTTTCTTTTCTAGTCCCCCCACCGAACCAGATCTACTAAAGACTTCAACGGTTTCTTTTTTTTTTTTGGTACCGGTGTTGGAATTTCGTGGATAAGTCGTGACAGAGCCGATGAATCCAATTATGAAAGCAAGGCTCCCGCTAAATAAAATTTTGAAAGTCTCGCGGTTAGTTCTTCCGAAAGGAGGTGGGGCGAGAAGCCCGTCTTAGTCTGTATAAATGGTGAAACGGGCGCAAAGGAACGTAGCGAAGCGGAGTAGCTCGATAGACGAACGCGGCTTACCCCACTCAGCCGAAAAGCGAGGGTCCGGAGGAGAACTACCTTTTTTCTTACGATTGGCATTATCAGGTACTCCCCCAGCAGTTTTGCCGAAGCAGCGATATACTTCATTTCTTTGTCCTTCAACTAAAACTAATCCAATGGAACTAGGAAATTCATAGGAAAGCCCTCAAAAGATCGGATAAGGCAGCTCATATAGTTCTTGTCTTTCTATCTCCATTTTTCAACCACAGGACCCGAGATTTCCGTCTCATAAGAGACTCCTCCGCGTCAAGCATTGCATTAAGTTCATATAGTTTTCGAGTTTAATCCATCGCTGCTTGCTCATTTCCTTGGTCCTTCGCAAGAATGGTTTCTCGTACAGCTCATCCTTAAGGACGTTGATTCTTTCAGCTATTTTGCCAAAGGTGGTAACGTTCTAACCCGCCTCTTTGACCGCTTTAAGCTTTTGGACACTTGGAACATGGGGTTGCCCTCAACTCGGATATTCCACGCTTGCTTCACAGTTCGGAGAAAGGGGGGATGATTAGACTGCGCATTAATAAACCTTTAAGGTTTATGGCTGTGCTGCACTGAGTGATTCAACTGAATAATGCCTGGGGCATGGTCAGATAGTCCATTAGTACCAGTAATAACTCTAGCTTCGGAGAAGAGAGTAACAATCTCACGGTTAACCAGAATTCTGTCTAACTTGCAAGCTATTCTTCTTCGGCCTTCGAAAACTAAGAGTTTGGTTGAAACTATTGTTGATAGATATCACACGCTTTTTATTGTTATATATATATATATATATATAACGTTATAAGTATAACTAACTGAAAGCGTCCGTTCACGTCAGGAATAGAGGTTGTTGATGTAGTTGCTTGTAGTTTTCTTTGATTTTTCTCGAGTTGGTGCATATTGCATATATAGGCTCCGGAGAGAGAATCAATGTTCGGTAGTACGCCTGGTTCGCCAGGTTCTACCACTGCAGGGCCCAATCATACTCAAAAGAAGAGTATGATCTTGGCTCAGAAGGAACGCTAGCTATATGCTTAACACATGCAAGTAGCATGCGGCCGTGCTTGCTCGATCAGTGGAGTTAATGGACTCCACGGGTGAGAGACCAAAAAGGAGCAGCGGGTTAAAGTCTTCGCTCGCTTTCCCGAAAACGGGCCTTCAAAAAAAAAGAGGGAGAATACCTTTGCCTGACATAACTACAAACAAGCAACGGATGAGTGCCCTAACGCGAAATGGAAATCGAAAAAGAGAAGATTTAACGGCTCCTTTGCGGGGTGGGGAGCATCCCCCCTCCCCCCTTCAAGTAGACAATTCGAGATCCCCCTTGCTTAATTCACTCAATTAGCAATTTAAATTGGAATTGGAATATTCCCCCGCTCGAAAGAGTTCGCTCATCATCCTTTCCCTCGCCAAATACGGGGGACATGTTACCATGTATCCAAACGGAGAAGCAGAAGCAGAAGAATAGGATTGAGATTGCCAAAGACCTTTTGGGGGAAGTCAAAAACAGTAGCAGTTGGGGACGCCTAGTCCATCATACTATAGTGGTCTTACATACAGCTAGTGTCGGCAGGAATGGAACAGAAATCTCGTATATGAAAAATTTTTAGTATATATAGCGGAGTAGCTTTCTTTGTTTGAAGGCTTCAAGTGAGAGAGAGGATAGGATCAAACCATCGCATCACCAAAAGGTGCTCGGGTGTACCTTAGAGCAACGAAAACGAAGACTTTCGAGAACAAATATTGGACCGGGAATCAAAAGGGGTAAAGTAAAGTAAAAGCGCATATGGCACGAAAAGGAAATCCGATGTCGGTAAGACTTGATCTGAATCGTAGTTCAGATTCAAGTCGGTTCAGTGAGGGCGACCGCGAAAGTCACCGAATGGGTCAGTCTTTTCCTTCAGTTTGTCCTATATTAAAAAAAAGCGTGGGAGGACATTGCAGATGTCCGGGACGGACACGACTTCTTCTAACGCTAGAAGACCACTGGAAGACACCCGGGACCAGAGCATGTCGTGAAAGAAGCACACTGGGCGGGCGTGCTTCGACCGTGTCTCCGGGGCACAGTTGAATGTAGATATCATGAATGCGAGGTGCAGGAGACCAGGCCGAGAAACCCGGGCAACCACTCCCCTATGTGCCGATCGCTAGCGCATCCAGGGCCCCGGCGCCCAGCTCGGCCGGAGAGGCCTAGCCTGATCTGAGAAGTGCTAATTCGGTTCGGATAGACTTCATTCAAGAACGCCGCCGCCCCTGGAATCAATAAGAAAACAAGTGCAAAGTTTCAGATCAGTGAATAAATCGAAACGAAAGAAGAGACGTTTCTCGCTCGGCGCCTAAAGCGCACTATGCTCCGCTTCAACAAATGAGAGTTTTCGGTGGAACCGGTGAACCACGCGAGCTGGTTAGATGCGCGGGACAGAGGGCTCGTAGTACCTGCTAGCGCAGCTATGCTCTGTAAGGGAAGGAGCCTAAATCGAACCCCTTCTTTCTTTTTTTTTCTTTGAAAAAAAGCAGTACAAAGAGATTCTCGGATGAGACTAAGCAGCCACCGACCGTTCTGACGCGCCCCTGACCTATCTTGATTAAGACCGAAAACTCTCTAAAATGGAGCCTGGTTTAAGCTGTCAAACAAATGATAGAATAGAAAAAAAAAGAACCACTAGTAGGGATATGGATGGAGTCTCGCTCAGTAAAGAGAGTTGTAGATTAGTAGAAAAGGAGAAGAGCCTTTACTTGATATATTATATATAAGTATTAGTAAAGCGCTAACGCTGCCATTTTTCTAAAGGCGCGAAACTTTACTTTTTGAGAAAGAAGGTGCTTGTTGCCGCTTTATTAGTAAGTAAGCTTGTTTTATATCATATCAATAAAGGCGAAAGGTTGCTTTACCAAATAATATAAGGCGCGTTAGCGCTTTAGAAGGACATTTAGGCTTTACTAATAGAATATATAGGGCGTTTTTTTTCACGCAGGTTTGGAACCCGGGGCGTTTCCTTTCAAATGACAACAGCCTCTTCCTGCTGCGAGGGCGCTGCGCGAAACCAAACCGCCCCCCCCCGCCCGATCAAGTACCAGTTGCTTTGCCGGCGGGCCGGGGGGCATTGTCCCTCAGTTCTTACCAACCTCCGGTGTGTAATCGACATGTTGCTAGCTTCAACTCGGTTGAATAAGAATCATTGATTCCCTATGCTGTCCATTTCTTATTCATTCAGGGAGCTCGGCCGGTGCTCCTTTAAAAAACCAAAACCACTCTGAACGTAAGGGAAGATAAGGGAAGACCGCCTGAGCGAACCGACCGAAAGGACTTTTGACTTATTTGAACCGAACGATAGCGGCTTAAAGCTAAGCCTATCACGAGCAGCGTCGCTGCTTGATCGGCGGGGAGGAGCATCTCAAAGTATGGGGCAAAGGATCAAGCGCTTTGACTTTGCCCCCCGGGATCCACCACGGGTTGGGTTTGAGAGCCGTGTGATGGGTGACTATCCTGCACGGTTCGGGGAGCACTTTTTGTCTGCGTTGGTGAATGGAAGCCCCCACTATCAAGCAAGAAAGAAGCGGCTCTTCCCACGGCGGAGTCCCCATTGACTCTATTTATTATTATGGTAAATCAGTGTATCAAGATGTCAATCTGAGATCTTATTTCGGTTCAATACGTCCACCTACGAGACTGACCTTTGGCTTTCGTCTCGGTACGTGTATTATAATAAATTTTCCCAAAAGAACATTCATTCATTTCTTTCTTCCCCGTCGACCACGACGACTGAAACGACACGAAAAATCCAGACCCGGCTCTCTTCGACCACGACGACTGAAACGACACGAAAAATCCAGACCCGGAAAGGAGAAGGGCCGGTGGTGGGCATTTGGGAAAGTCGGGCCGATCGGGTGTCTTCATTCAAGCGACGATACAGAAGAAGAACGAAACGAAGTGAGAGGCCGGGGGGCAGGGAAAAGAGTCGAGTCGATCAGGCTCGACGACCGGGAGAAGCAAAACGAAATTAGGATTTGGCCGAAAAAGAAGCAACGCTATGGATACCATGACCGATCACCATCGATAAAGAAGAATCTTTCTAAATCACTTCGGGTCAGCAGGGCCTTCAAGCATCCGAAATACGCCGGGGTTGTAAATGACATAGCGTTCCTGATAGAAAATGACGACTCCTTCAGAAAAACTAAGTTATTCAAGTTCTTTTTGCCAAAGAAGTCCCGCTCCGACGGCCCGACGAGGCATCTACTTAAAAGGACCCTCCCTGCAGTGCGCCCCTCCTTCAATTATTTGGTCATGCAATACTTATTGAATACAAAGAACCAAATGAATTTCGACCCCGTCGTAGTTCTCAATCATTTCGTGGCACCGGGCGTGGCTGAACCATCTACGATGGGGGGAGCGAATGCACAGGGAAGAAGCTTAGATAAGAGAATACGTTCTCGCATCGCTTTTTTTGTAGAAAGCTCGACCAGCGAGAAAAAGTGTTTGGCCGAAGCCAAAAAGAGGTTGACCCGCTTCATCCGCCAAGCGAATGATCTTCGCTTCTCGGGAACAACAAAAACCACCATCTCGCTCTTTCCTTTTTTCGGTGCTACCTTTTTCTTTCCAAGGGATGGGATTGGGATGTATAATAACCTTTTTTTTGAGGATGCCCGGGAACAACTCCTAGGTCAATTAAGGATCAAATGTTGGAACCTCATGGGTAAGGATAAGGTAATGGAATTGATAGAGAAATTCATAGACCTAGGTAGGATAGGAGAATTGATAAGGGGAATAGAGATGATGATAGAGATCATACTGAGAAACAGAAGAATTCCGTACGGGTACAACTCTTATTTGAACGAAGTGAAAAAAATGCGATCTTTGTTGTCTAATAGAACAAACACTAATACCTTAATTGAGTCGGTCAAGATCAAATCTGTTTATCAAAGTGCTTCTCCGATTGCTCAAGACATCTCTTTTCAACTGAGAAACAAAACAAGATCATTTCGTTCCATTTTTAGTAAAATAGTGAAGGATATTCCATTAGTAATGAAAAAAGGGGTTGAGGGGATCCGTATATGTTGTTCAGGTCGATCAAAAGGCGCAGAAATTGCTAGAACTGAATGCGGAAAGTATGGAAAAATATCTCGTAATGTATTTAACCAGAAAATAGATTATGCTCCTGCGGAAGTATCTACCCGTTACGGAATCTTAGGTGTCAAAGTGTGGATTTCATATTGTTAAAAAAGAAGGGGGGCATGCTTTTTCTAGAATGGCTATTCTTCACTTCGGGCCCGGTGGAACTTGTTCCAAACGAGCCCTCTTCGGGCGAATTCATTTTTTCTGCCGTTTCCTTAGCGTTTCACCCTAAGCAAGTAAACTTCCTTTTTTTTTTTTTCATTTTTTATAGTTGCCTCTGCGGTTATCCTACGTATGAAAAGGGATCCCGTTTTGATTGCTCTTTTTCGTTCCCGCCCTCTCACAATGCGGCCCTTTTTCTTTGCAATAGCGTTTTTATTAATAATCTGTGTAAACATCCAAATAGCCGCCTGCGACGGGGGAATTCCTTCTCCCGTGCCAAATTTACATCCGGAGGTTCCCCCCGACACCGGTGTTCCCCAAGGGGCACCGGTGCAGATTCCTGTCCCACCTGAAATTCCCCAACTAGAAGAGCCTTTAATGTCCGTGGAGGATAGGTGGAAGGAACTTCAGCTACGGTTAAGTTTGTATTTCCTCGGGAGAAACAGTTGGTCGGACGTCGGGCCATTCGTGAGAATCCTGGAGAGGCAGGTGCCTATAGAAACAAAGATAGAAGCTGCATTGGTGGACGATGGATATAATCGGGAGGATATCCATCAAAAGAGGTTCGAAATAAGGGGAATCCTCTTTAACCGTGGGGTGAACGCGCTTTCTGAACGTACCTTAGATGAGTATTTGGACCAAATCGAAAGAAATGGCACTCGGCAGAGCACTCCCTATAGAAACGTAAGTAGGGCTATCCAGAATTTGGATCTAATTCTGTGACTCCTTCTTTCTCCCATGCTTTCCGTTGGTCAACAACCAACCACAGCTCTCTATAGTTCTTCACTACTCGTACAGGAAGGTAAGAACCACTTTTTTTCTGGAGGGAATCATTTTTTCTCAATCAAGAATGCCTCAACTGGATAAATTCACTTATTTCACACAATTCTTCTGGTCATGCCTTTTCCTCTTTACTTTCTATATTCCCATATGCAATGATGGAGATGGAGTACTTGGGATCAGCAGAATTCTAAAACTACGGAACCAACTGGTTTCACACCGGGGGAACAACATCCGGAGCAACGACCCCAACAGTTTGGAAGATATCTTGAGAAAATGTTTTAGCACCGGTGTGTCCTATATGTACTCTAGTTTATTCGAAGTATCCCAATGGTGTAACGCCGTCGACTTATTGGGAAAAAGGAGGAAAATCACTTTGATCTCTTGTTTCGGAGAAATAAGTGGCTCACGAGGAATGGAAAGAAACATATTAGATTTGATCTCGAAGTCCTCATATAGCACTTCTTCCAATCCTGGATGGGTGATCACTTGTAGGAATGACATAATGCTAATCCATGTTCCACACGGCCAAGGAAGCATCTTTTTTTAATCTCATTATTACTTGGTCGTTAGGAAGAGATTCTTTCTCGATCTGAATAGTGGAATGGAAGGCACTACAAGAAAGATATACCCCTTTTCAAATCGCCCCGCGAAGACGGACGTTCAGAAAGGTTATCGAGATTATCAATCTTTTTAGTGGGGAGGAATAGTGCGGGAAGGGAGCGAGACCAAGCCGAGCCACTAGGAGAGTAAGGACTTCCCACGTGTCAAAATGAATGCAGCCTCAACCAGAGAGATCAACCTGCGCCTTTGATTTTAGGACGCCGGCGGCGCAGAACGCACTAATCCGCGACCAGCTAGTTTTCCGAAACCGAACTGAATAGAATTGTGACTTTCCAAAAATGCTTGCTGAAAATCAAAGAAAGAAGGTCCATTTTCCCACGTAGTTCGTCGGTCAAACCAACGATTCTCTTCTCAAAGTAATAGAGAGATCTTTTTCTAGTTAGACTTCTATCAATGCAATGAAAGAACCATCCCTTCCTATTTGTTTGTCCTGTCAGATAGAAAAAAGAAATTAGAAGCCCCTCTTTACCACTTTAGGGGGTGGGGGTGAAGGGGGGGTTTACATACAACCGAGGCTAAGTGGTTTATGATTGAATCTCAGAGGCATTCTTATCATTTGGTAGATCCAAGTCCATGGCCTATTTCGGGTTCACTCGGAGCTTTGGCAACCACCGTAGGAGGTGTGATGTACATGCACCCATTTCAAGGGGGTGCAACACTTCTCAGTTTGGGCCTCATATTTATCCTATATACCATGTTCGTATGGTGGCGCGATGTTCTACGTGAATCCACGTTGGAAGGACATCATACCAAAGTTGTACAATTAGGACTTCGATATGGTTTTATTCCGTTCATCGTATCGGAGGTTATGTTCCTTTTTGCTTTTTTTCGGGCTTCTTCTCATTCTTCTTTGGCACCTACGGTAGAGATCGGAGGTATTTGGCCCCCAAAAGGGATTTGGGTTTTAGATCCTCGGGAAATCCCTTTTCTTAATACCCCTATTCTCCTTTCATCCGGAGCTGCCGTAACTTGGGCTCATCATGCTATACTCGCGGGGAAGGAAAAACGAGCTGTTTACGCTTTAGTAGCTACCGTTTCGCTGGCTCTAGTATTCACTGGCTTTCAAGGAATGGAATATTATCAAGCACCCTTCACTATTTCGGACTGTATTTATGGTTCTACCTTTTTCTTAGCAACTGGCTTTCATGGTTTTCATGTGATTATAGGTACTCTTTTCTTGATCATATGTGGTATTCGCCAATATCTTGGTCATCTGACCAAGGAGCATCACGTTGGCTTTGAAGCAGCTGCATGGTACTGGCATTTTGTAGACGTGGTTCGGTTATTCCCATTTGTCTCTATCTATTGGTGGGGAGGTATATGAAGAAACGAAACAGTGGATTGAGGAATGAAAGCTCGAAGACAAAGAGAATCGGGCTTTTCCAAAGAATTACTGCAGCTTTCCCACTCCCTTTGATTTTCATATACAAAAAAGTCTCTTCCACTTTCCTACCAAATCTCTCTTTATTCTGGCACATAAATGAAGGGATCGAAGAGATTGTGGCAGATCATGTTCACCAAGAAATGACCCGAAATTTTATCTTGGTCTATTTGAGATTGTTCCTTTTAATCGTAATCAAAGATGTTTTCTTGTCTCTCGTTTCTTTTCCGAACAAATCGAAGAACCTAATGGATCGAACTCGTCCTTAATACGAAGTCCTCTTCTTTACTTTTTATTTTGACTTGGGGCGATCACGAGCGCGTCCGATTCAAAAGTTATTTCACAAATTATTTATCCACAGCCCGCTCCGCTGCTGAAGGGATAGAGATAAGCTTTCATAATGAGATTTACTTCCACGAATATGCATGCTAGAAAGATGCTATTTGCTGCTATTCCATCTATTTGTGCATTAAGTTCGAAGAAGATCTCAATCTATAATGAAGAAATGATAGTAGCTCGTTGTTTTATAGGCTTTATCATATTGAGTCGTAAGAGTTTAGGCAATACTTTCAAAGTGACTCTCGACGGTAGAATCCAGGCTATTCAGGAAGAATCGCAGCGGAAGAAAAGAGCACTTTTCATCAAATTGACTTTCTTTTTGATGTTAGTTGTACTTTTCTTTCTCTTTAGCTGGTGGGCCCAGGAGTGGGAGTTCTTTGGGATGGTATCCACACGAGTAGGGCGGGCTCTTTTTATTAAAGGTGTAAGCTCCTTAATGCCCGAAGTGTGGATAAGTTGCGGAGCCAGTTTCGTTGCTTCGGCGCTAGGTGGGTCTCTTATCTCTTGCATGGAGGGGGGAGTACCTCTGCCGGCCGGGACGTCTGGCGCAGGAAGCTCCGGCGCAGGGGGGATGGGAGAACTCACTGGCATGAATGCCCCTGCTTCATCGAGTGGGATACGACCCCCCTTTGATCTTAACATGGCTCCGGACCCGGAGCCGGAACCTTCCTCTTCACCCGGCCTCAAAAATCGAATTATCGAGGCGGAGTTAGAAGAGGCCCAGAAAGAACTTCGCTTCTGGGAAGAGAAAGGAAGGCACTATTTTAAGGAGGAGGCCCGCCTCTATCGTGCCGGGCTGGAGGGAGAGAAGATGGAAAAAGAATTCTATTCTCTCGGGGTCGAGAATCTCCGCCTGGAGCATAGGCGGCTGCTTTCACTAATCGCATCGCGTCGGGGCTAGCGCGCTTTTCAAGCGCTTAGCTTCGGGGCGGCAAGGCGTTCCGTTGGAAGCCTAGGCGTACGGTGGAGATTGGTTGAAGATGATGTTACGCGGCGTTCAGAACCAGCCTTGAAGTGAATGAATTAGAAAGAACGAAGGACAATTATGCCATTAGGAAGAAGTCTTCTACAGAGGGAAAGCCTGTTACGAGTAAGTGGAGAGGAAAGCTCTCCAGAGATTCTTATCTCATTCCATTCCAGTGGCTCGACCAGTAACCAATGGCGAAAACTAAAAAATCCATGGTTTCCCGGTAGAACCCCATTTCGCCCAAGTTGTTGCGAAACCGGAAAAAAGAAGCGGTTTTTCGCACAGCTTGCTCATAGTGCAGGTCCCACTTGTATATCGTATTTGGCCGAAGAAGCATCGGACAGGTTGGAGTTCTTACCTTCTTGGGACTCCGTGGACCAAGATCTGCTTTCATTATATGGGCAATACCGATCTACTTTAGTAGATCATATGGATGTAGAAAAAGCTTATGATTTTGATGAAATGGAAACATCTCTTTTCCATTTCTATTTCCCTAGTTCATATCTTTGTTTCGTGTGTTCCCGGGAGTAATTCGATCTCTTCAATCTCGGGATACCACCTAAATAACTGCGGCCAGAGAGTAAAATAGGTCGGGAAGAAAGAGTCTGAGGTTGGGTCGGACGACATACATCTTGGAAGGAAGGTTCATTCTTTAAATCCGATGGTTACTTTTGTTCCACTGCTATCGAAAAGCTTGGACATAGTGCAACAAGAAGAGAATTAGCAGAATAGGATAAAGAATTTTCCTTCAAAAGAAGGGCAGTGTGAAAGGAATAGCGTTGAATCTTGAGAATGAGAATGTACGTAGTAAGTATTACCATTCTCCGGGGCGAAAGTTGTTCTTCTCCTCGGGGCTTTACTTGTATATTTATTACGAAAAGTTGCCGGAAGCGGAAGAGTTTGCCAGGATGGCTTGGTAAGCAAGCAACCAGTTATGTAGGCGCCAACTCCCGGTTCTTTCTCTTCTTTCTTTTTTTTTGTCCTATACGTCTGATCCCCTTTCCGGGGAAGGGGGAACATAGACGGAGGCACATGTAGACAGATACATACTTAGTCAATCTTTTGCCTAAGCGAAGTAGTAGTTGATCCCGTAGAGGCAAGGGTGAATCGAGACCGAAAGCTACTAATAGAATAGCATAATCTGAGCACATAGTCTAAGTAGCAACTGTTAAAGCTCCCTGGTCTCGCAACGGCCGGCTAAAGTTTCCCTGGGCTTGGGCTTGAATGCCGGTGTTTTGCTAGAGAGAGGCCAAAGTAGGGCAGAGCAGGACTTCGTTCACGCCGTGAAAGGCAGGCGTTTTTCATGGCGAGTCACCTGTGGTGGCTTCTGTGAAAAGCAGAAGGGGAGTGGTGAGGCGGGGCTCTTCACTCAATATCTGTAAGAGAGGTTGTATGAGGACTGATCCGCCCCCCGGCAGGCATCCGATTCTGCCCGCGGACTAGGCCTTATAGAATGGATTTAGTGGCTGGACCGCGTTACTCGTGATGGAATAGAGGTAATTCGCCGGGTCTGTCTTTTGCCCTGGTTCGACTCCCGCTCACGACCATTCTTAAGAGTTTGTGCTCGACTGGCCAATCAAGTAAATCAACCGAAGAACGGGACTCTAGATAGTTCAACCAAATCTATCATTTGTCAGCTATATGAGATAACCTTTTCTCATTTTTAAAGAGCTTGTTAGGGCTAAAAAGAAATTCGTACAAAAATACCCGCAAATTCTGATTATAATAGATTTGGAGCAACTCTTCTATCTTATCCTTAATGAGTTCCTTTATAGTGTCAAAACAAAGGTCTCCCAGCCTTTCGGCCATATTCTCTTCATTTAAATTTCGCAGGCGTCCTGCCCCCAGTAACACTACGAGAGGAATATACCCAACTCCGGCTATTGTAAATATGTCTCTGATCATGTCTGACAAAAAACCAAGAATATGTGGATTCATAGAAAAGATTCTTTCTTTTTTTTTGCTCCGCTTTAGGCTATTTCTTTGTTTAGGTAGCTTAAAGACTCTTCTCTTTAGCAAGACCAACAGTCTTACTTAATGAGGGTAGCTTGGCGGTTAACCAAGAAAAGCATGGGATTTTTACTTGCACTTGGAATGAAAAAGCATTCTTTTCAATCTTGTACTAAGGTACACTGAACACCAACTCAATCTCTACTAAATCCAATGGGATACCGCTGCTACCACTATAGCCCCCGCCCCCTTATGACGTATGCCCCTTCACGGGATGGGAGGTGACCTTCGCTACACTCGCCATTGGGCAACCTCCGGGCAGGTATCGGCTTTTTTTTTTTTGATGTCATTTTTTTTTTTCTATAATATATCGGAAAAGCAGAAAGTCTCTAAAATGAAAATGCTGTAAATCCTTGCGTCTAGGCTTCCATTCACGGAAAGATTATATTAGTGAATTTTGAATGAAAAAGAATCGTTAAATCTTGATATGACAGAGCTGTTATTAATGTAGTGTTTATTAACTGGGTCTTCAATTAATTTGGATAGACGAACGAGGAATTTCATTATTAGTTGCGGAAAGGTCGAAAGATACTTTATTCGTATGAAAAGATAATTGTCTTTAATGTAATAGACTATCTTCTGATTGTTTCACATAGACAAGCAGGAGACGTAACGTAAGGATCAGCTAAAATGCGAAATTAGGGGTATGTGATAGATAGTGATCTATCTTGACTCTATATTTTGATACTTTTTACTTAATGAAATGAAGGTCAACAAAAAAAAGACTAGGTCTTATTATTACTACATGTTAGTACCATTCCCTTGAAACTTCCAGGGGTGTATCTACGTATTTTGCTTGTGCTTAATGTTTTCCGATTCTACTAGAAATCATATAAGAAACTTTTATAATTGTGAGTTTATTGGATTGTTTCATCAGGTTAGAATCCCCTTTTGACTCTTCGCCAGGGATTCCACTATTCTTAATGAACATAATAATGATTAGTGAACAATAATGGAATAATTCCTTCATATTTATAGAGCTAGGGGATATAATTCACATGGATATAGTAAGTCTCGCTTGGGCTGCTTTAATGGTAGTCTTTACATTTTCTCTTTCACTCGGGGTAGAAGTGGACTCTAGAAGTACTACTAATTGAGTTGAAGAATCAAACTCAAACCATATCAATTGTTTTATAGATCGTTCTGCAAAGTCCTTTTCATTTGACTTTTTTCTTTTTTTTTTAAGAAAAGGAATAGCTACTGAATCGTTGTACATTTCAATTTGAATTAGGCATTCCGCGTACAAATACAAGTGATCATTAATTACATATATGTCTGATCATATATGTATTACAAATTACAATAAATAAGGAGGATTTAAAATGCGAGATCTAAAAACATATCTCTCCGTGGCACCGGTAGTAAGTACTTTATGGTTTGGGTCTTTAGCAGGTCTATTGATAGAGATCAATCGTTTATTCCCGTTGATATTCTCCTTTTTTTAATTCTCGTTCTAGTTATTGACATGGGAGGGGGTGAAGACGATTAGAGATATAATCAAATATCAGTGACTAATCCCTCCCCTTCCCTTCTTTGAATTTTCGAATTTCTTAAATTATAATAAGTTCGAAAAGAGAAAGAATAAAAGTGGATTCAACATTTCAACGAAATCTTTCAGAATTTGATTTCGAGTTAGCAACTTCTATTTTCTTTTTCGTTCCTTTCTTCTCTCTTTCTTCTCTTTGGATCGGAAAATGGAATAGTTGGTTAAAAAAGTCACCCTACCTATTTGAGTACTTTTTTAAAAATTTCAGTTTACATTGCAAGATCTGATCTGTCCCAAGATCTTTTGGAAATGATAAAATGCAGCAGCCTTGATGCTAGTCTCCCCATTAACCATGTGGCCGTTATCATCTTTAATGGAACGCAAAGTCTTTAGGGCTCTTCTTTCGGATAAGGCAGCTAGATATCCATCAGGTGTTAGATTCGGCCATGGAGGCTGCAGCTGTCGCTGATCTGAGTAGTGAGAAGCTAAAAGGGGAGATGTGGCAGCAGAGGAAGGGTCATGGGAATGAAGGGTCTGCTAGCAGCTTTATGGAAAAGGATCTGGTTTCTGGTCCTGAATCAAGCCACGTTGAGTATTCTGGGCTGAAGGAAAGGAAAGATGGTGGAGCTCTGGACGATGGTAGCCGGGGGTGAACGAGTTGCTTCATTCTCCTCTGTTATTCCTGGTATCAATGGGAAGACTGAGAGTCTGAGGGAAGAGATTGAAGAGTTGAAAGCCCAAATGGGCGTGATTTTAATCCTGGAATAAAGGGAGGGACGGGCCTTCGAGCTGGGGAAGCTTCAAACCCATTTGGCAACCTTATGAATACTGGAGAAGTGAGCAATGGAGCTGTCATCAGTGCCAACACTGTGGGGAATGTGGATGCATCCAAACTCCCAGGTGCCATCAGTCCAACTATTGTCCATGAAGAGAGGAAGGTCAATGGCAAGACAAGTGGCTCTACCGGCGGGAGAGTGGCGGCTGGCATTGTAAGGGGTTCTCCTCCACGGATAAAAGAGAAAGTTCTGGATTGTATGGCAAAACGGAAGAGGCTGGGGGAGGCAATCGCTTTGATTATCAGCTGCCCCCCGCCAATCACTTCAATTATAGCCGATCTTCGCCTACCAACTTGACCGCTTGTTGAGAACCCTTAGACGCCAATACTCTTGTTGGGGGGGGGCATAGGCGGCATAGTTCACCTTAGGAAATTGTTCAGTTAGAAAGTCCAAAACCTAGTCTGACCTAAGTACTCAATCAAGCGGGCTACCCGATCTCATCATTCTTCTTTTCCTTAACCGGTGGCGAATCTAGCTCATTTCTTTTTCTTTTTAGTGTATCTCCGACGCCCGGAATTCAATCAAGTTCAAAAAGATGTGACTTGACTTTAGAAAGATTATGAAAAGAGTGACCCTGAGCATAGGCCGACGCATGCTCATTCTATTTTCCCATAGTGGCATTCTCCTTCCTGATTCCAGAGCAGAGAGAGGAAATCTGTCTCATTCGGGGAGATAGTAAAGCATTTTGATACCGGGCTCAGAGAAGAAAGATGCAAAGGCAGGGATTGAGTGAAGCTCTTCCCCTCTCTCCAACTAGTCGCTTTTTCTACTCTAGTTCTTTATATACTCGCTTCAAGTATTCCGCTCGCTCTAGCTATCGCTTTTTCTTTGAAAAAGCTCTTACGCTACGTAAACTACGCTCTTACGCTTAATCGCTCTTACGTTACTTCGTAACTCGATAGTATTCTCATAAAAAAGCTAAGATAGATCTAATAGTTCGCGGAGAGGAACTGGCCAGGAGAATAAGAAGATTTGAGAAAAAGAATTCTTATCCCAAGTCGAGTGACAGGGCTTGACCTTTACGGATGGCTTAACTGATCTAATTAGAAGTACATCGCTAACAGGTTTGCTTGAAATACGCCTTTCAATCTCTTACCTGTTTTCCTAAGCAAACTCTCATTGGCTGGCCGGAAACTTGCCTAGAAATGCTCCCTCTCCCTCTGGTCGAGCAAGTAAACTCCCTCTCCCTCTCTGATAAGCATGCTTCATAAGGAGGTCCCGGCACGTGAGACCGGATAGATTATGCATGTAGGGAGGGCCCCTTCCCCAGAAATGAATTGGGGAGCCGACTCTAGCTCTGCGATCATACTAGAAAGACGGCTTCTTGGTAATCATCCTAGAAGGCTGCCCCTATTTATTTAGACTGGAATATTGATACTGGAACTGGACCGACAGCCAAAGGAAATTCCCTCTCGATTAAGGTCATTCCCAAGGGCTGCAGGAGAACTCCAACTAAAGATGGGCTTAGAACTTAAACTCACTTTTTGGCAAAGAACAGGTGAAGACCTTAGGACTTTAGGACAGGCGACAGATACGAAGGCTACTAGATGAGGGACTGGTGGGGAACTCCCCATGGCAGGAGGAAAAACTGTTACGGACACTGAAACTCCAGAGTCTTCCATGGCTTATCCAGAAACAGCCTGAAACAGGCTAAAAA